CAGGCTTACAGTTTGCTGATCTCCTGCTCTAATCTGTTCTTCACACAACATCCAGAAAGACATTCAGGTCTCTCTTCTGTTTAAATTCTGCACTCGGAATAAACAAAGCCCGCAGTGTCTGGGTGCTGCCTGCTCCTCTTACCCCATCTCTCATCCTGTCACTCTCCACGCCCTACCCACTATGACCTTCTTTCCCAGGTCAAGTTCTCATTTCAAGTCTTTGCACATATCAGTCCTCCTACCTGGAATGCTGCCTTCTAGTTTCCCTATTGACCTACCTAACTTCCATTTGTCTTTTGGGTCTTTGGGGCCTTTTTGGGTAGCGATGCTTAAACTTCCCAAGAGAGAATTTCTCTGACCCTCCCCCAGTTGAAATTATGCTCCCCCATTAGTTCTCTAAGAGCACTATATGTTTCTTTCCCCTTTAAAATACATATCACGAGGGAGGGAATAGCTCAAGTGGTAGAGTGCATGCTTAGCATATATATGGTCCTGGGTTTAATCCTCAGTACCTCCTCTGAAGATAAATAAACTTATTACGTTACCGCTCCTCCAAATACATATCACAATTTGAAATTATGTATTCAGGCTTTTTTTTGACTGTAGTGGAAAACTCCACACAGTCAGGGGCCATGTCTGCTTTGTTTGCACTGTGGACCAAGCACCCAGCATAGTGTTGGCATAATGAGTCTTCCCTGAAAGTCAGCTAGATTAGTGAATCCTCCGGTAGAACTTCTCTTCCACCAAAAAAGAGACCCCCAGCGGATGCCAGTGAAGGGCCCCCAGTGAACCAGGCGGGCTTCCTGAGCAGAAACCTCGCCTACCAAGCTGAATCATGGACTATGCAACGGTACCTTCCAAAGAATCTGCCCCAGGCAAATTCCTGACCCTGGAGAAGCTTTCTCTATACTCCTGGCTCTGAAACCTGCTACACATTTTCACTCTAATGCCATCCATCTGCTTTTCTTTCTGTGTTCCAACCCAGAAACAGCCTCCCCCACAGAGGTTAAACTTTCTCAATAACTCGGACCAGTTCTTCTACCTGGGGTTGCCTGAGATCTTACAAACATAGCTGTTGAATCTGAATACTTTACTCAGCTGCCTGTCAGGAATGCTGGGGCAATGTCCAGAGGCCACGGAGAGAAACAGCAAGCCTTCAGAGGAGATAAACCCTGCCTGCAGCCCTCTGCCTGCTCTAATCTATACTCTGAAGGGCTGCCAGAGTTATCTTTTAAAAGGATTAATCTTATCTAGCCCCTTCCTTTCACACTTCTCACTGCCTATAGGACAAAGTCCAAACTCCTCAGCCCATCTTGCAAACCTTCACCATTCAGTCCCAAGCCATCTTTCCGGCCTCATCTTCCATATGCCTCCACCCCATCCTAAACTCAATATTCTAGATATTCTAGTCTGGAACTGTCCAAAACAGTTGCCACTAGCCACAGGTAGCTGTTTAAAATTAAATTAATTAAAATTCAGTTCCTCAATAACACTGGCCACATTTCAAGTGCTCAATAGCCACATGTGGCTAGTGGCTACCATGTTGGACAGCATAACAATAGAACTTTTCCAGTGCAAAAAATTCTATTTGGACAGCATTGTTTTAGACAATAAGACTCATCACCATTTTCTAAAACAAAACTCTTTAATTATACAATTTATACCTAAGTACATTCTCATTGTTAATTTTCAAACATTACAAAAATCTCCTTTACCAACTGTCTCTAGACAGAATCACCAAAATCAGTTTGGTGTATATTCTCTGAATATTTTGAGTGCTCTGCACTTTGCTATTTTCATTCAACAGTGTCTTAGAGGTCTTCATATAAGAAGACATCTCTATCCACCCTGTGCTTTAGTTGTTGCAGAGTAATCCCTAGCATGAATGAACTTTAGGTTATTCAACCATTGCCCTCTTGATGGACATTTGTTTCCAGTTTTTCCCTTATTGTAAACAATACTCTCTGCAAACATCCTTGTACCTTTTTCTGGACTTGTTCACATTTGTCTAGGGTAGATACCAAAAAGTGGAACTGCTGGGTCACCAAGTCATATGCTAACACCTCTGGGGCTTGGCACACCCTGGCACTCCCGCCTAGAATGCCTCTCCACATGACTAATTCCTGCTCATCAAGACGAATCAAGTGTCATCATCTGGTGAAAAGTGGTCTCCTGCTTCTGTTTCTCCATAGTACTTCATGTCCATATTGTATCATTATTGTCCACTTAGGGCTGTGCCTTATTTATCTTTGTATTTTCAACACCCAGCATAGGGCTTAGCATAAAACAAAAATTCAGATGTTTTCTTGACTGGATGAATGAATGACTAAGTAAATAAACAAATGAAGGTACAGTGGTTAGGACATTCCAGAAACTCAAGGTGAGTGAGCCTGAATATTGTGAACTTGGGCTTTAGACCAATCTGCCACTTGGTGCCTCAAGCCAAGCTGTCTCTCTGGGTTTCTGTCTATCCAGTCCTCTGACCTCGGGCATCTCATCTTGAACTCTGTTCAAGTAGGGTACCTCACAGTTGGAGCCATTTGAGTGTACAAGGCTCTGGCCCCAGAGTACAGAAATCTGAGTCCTGGGCAGCACTAGCAGGGGGTTGGCTTTCCAAAGTCAGCTCTGTCTCCTTTCACTCTTGAAGCATCTCAGTATGCTCTGGGTTTTGGTTTATTTTTTTCTCCCTACAGTACCTTAGGGGCAATTAAGATTAGCGGCAACATTTCTGCTGTCTGCCTCCAGATTTGAACCCAAGGGAAGCCAGATGTTTTCCACTCAGCGTTCCCTTCTCCTTGTGGTCGGATGAACAGCCCTGTTTTCTGAGTCTCTCTACGGCTTGGCTGCCCCAGATCCCAGGGCTTGGCTTTCAGCCTTTATTTTTAATAGGGTTTTAATAGGTGGCTCCTGTAATTAATTTCATTCTTGTGTTTTTCACACTTTCTGTCCAGGTGCCTCAAGGCCCCGGGGCACTAGGTGGGATGTTAACTGATTTTGAATAATACAAAACACTATAGCTGTCATTAGATATTACCTCAGCTCCTCTTATTTGCAGTTGTTCTACAATCATTAATTAGCTGGGGCACATGCCTGTTTGGGAGGTCAGCCCAGTCACTTGTCATGTTTCATAGAAGGAGAAACAGAGACATGGAGAAAAGGGACTTTTCCAAGTCCCAACAGAGAGTGGGTGTTGAAACTTGTTTTAGAAGCTACATCCTGCTGGGTACACACCCTGTGAGTGTCAAGACAAGGATCCCCTACTCAGGTAGGATTGGCTAAAGGAGGCGCGTCTTGGGTGCCCCCACAGGCGATTTCACCCTCCCACTAGGACTGCGGAGCAAATCAGCCCTCAGTAGCTAAGACTACCACCTGAAATTACCCCCATTCATTCTCTCAGGCCTCTTTTTCATTTTATGAGCGGATTTATCTGCACAAAGAAAGCGTCCGTGACTCCTCCCGGATTTAGAAACAACATAATTTTGCTATTTTTAAAGCTGCCGTTTAAAAATCCGCGCACACGTACTCACACTCCTCGGGGAGTTGGGGTGGGGTGGCTGGGAGTGGGGACCAAGAATACGTGCGCGAGAGAGAACAGTTTGGCTCTTGGCTTCCCAGAGCGCCGCGCCGTCCCCTAGGGGCGCACTCCTGGAGCGCGGGAGGATCCACAATCCCCAGCAATTTGCGCGGTCTGGACACTCTGAGCGCCCCGGCCTTTGGACTCCGTGTATCTGCGCCCCCTCTTCCCTGCTAGACAGAGGGCACGGCCGCCGGGTCACTAGGCCCAGGAGCGAGAGGGAGGGGCGAGGAGGCCGAGCAGGTGGTGATTAGGTCAGCCTCGGAACATTCTTGGATCGCTCCAGTGGATATAAATAACTGATGGGCAGGCTCTGAAAAATTCCGGGGTGGGGGGCAAGAGGGTGAGGAAATATTAAGGGTGTGGGGTGGCATCGTGTCGATCTGGAAAAATCTACCAAAGCTGGTGACTGACAAAGGGGGTGGAGGGGCGAAGTGATTTAAGAATGAATCGTGGTGCAAAATCTGGGAATCAAAACATGTAAGGGGAGGAGCTCACGCCTTTCTGCCCAACCCCCATCGCGTGTGTGACCCGGTCCTCAGAATGGGCCCCCAGATTGGCAAGGTGGGCTGTTCATAGAAAGGGCACGACTTTGGAGTTCCCGCCCTGCTCAACTACAGATCTTGTGCAAGCTAGTAAAGGTCTCTGAGCCTCAGTGTCCGCATCTATACAATGGGGATCCTAATGCTTACGAGGCGATGGTTGTGAGCCTCGCCGGAGCCAGCTTCTAAGAAAGCTGTGCTCAGCAAAAAGAGTAAGGCAGTATAGCCCCTAGGCCTCCCTCTCAAGTGAGCCAGTGCGGGCCCGTTTCTTTCCCTCTTCCACCGGTTTCTCAGGCTCTGCAGAGGCCGAGGAGTGGCAAAGCCGAAATCTGACTCCCTATAGCGGCGCGGCACCACCCTGGGGATTCCACCCTGGCGCTTCTCAGGCGGGAGCCGAGACCCCACCGCCCGCGCTGGGGAGCCGCGGGTCGCCGAGATGCGGGTAGCCCCTGCGCCCCCGCACTGGCCGGTGGGGTTGCGGCCGCGACAGCGAGGAGAGGGCGGGGCCGGGGGCCGGGCTTCCCGAGGGGAGGGCTCGCCGCGCTCCGGGAGGCAGTGGCCCCGGCCCGGGAGCGGCAGGACTTGGGCTGAAGAGTGGCCGGACCCCCACCAGCCAAGGCACCCAGGGAGGAAGCGGTGAGTGGTGCCCACGCGGGGACCGCGGGGAGGCGGCGGCGGGAGCCACGGGTAGAGCCCGCCCTCTCCTCCTCCTGCTCCTGAAGTTTGCAATGAGACCGACTCCTGCCCCGGGAGCCCCCCGGCCACTCCGCTCTGCGGGAGGACGGCAAGAGCTGCGCGGAGCGGAGTGGGTGTCTCATCTGCGGCGCCTCGCGCTCAGCAATTCCCCAGACTGGCCGGGGGTAGAGGGGCGTCGGGGCTGGCGGGCCACACCATCTCCGGCGGCCCCTCAAAGGCTCCAAACCGCCCTGGGACGTCCTTGCCCCTCAGCAACCCCTCGCTCTCAGCAAAGAGCACCGATTCCTGGGTCACCGTGTGGAGTTTACGGCGGTGCCGGTCAGGGCAGGGTGCGCCCCATCCCCTCAGCGGTGACGGGCTGGCCCCACCCCCTTCGAGACCAAGTTCAGCAAGTTTGGCCATGATGTCCTAGAGTCTCCATGGCTAGGCCTGGCCCTGTCGCTCCGCGTGGGCTCCACCGGCTCCGAGTTGGGCCGCGCCGGGTCCGCAAGAGGGGCGGGTCGAAGGGCGCCGTCCACAAGGGTTGAGACCAGAGACTGGCAGCCCCTGGGCTCCGAGGTTTGGTGTGAGGGCTCTGAGTTTGGAGTGCGTCATCAGAGAGCAGGCACCTCAGGTGGCAGGTCGGGTTTCCAAAAGTGCCCCTTTGTTACGCCCTTCCCTGGCCCTGCCTCCTCCTCTTTCCCCGCACCACCCCTCCCCCAGCCTCCCTGGCCTCTCTGGCTGCTGGTTCTAGCCACTCTTGCTTTAAGTACTCCCCTCTGTGGACCAGCCCACCGTCCTGTCTTATGCCTTCAAATCCCAGGGCTGTAGGCCGACCGGGAGGGGCTGCTGGAAGAAGAGGTCCTTGGGTGCAGCCTGTGACTCAGAACTGAGGATGGGCAGGGCAGGATGGCAGTGCTCCCTCTCAGGGGCATGCCCTCGACTTCTGGAAAGGGTAGGGGTCAGTCTGGGGGAGTACCTACCAGCCTCAGGTAAGAGAGGGTAGGTTCTTCCTTACTTGAACCCCAGGACTCGGTACCTTGGCTCAGGAATCTGTGAGGAGACCCTGCCAAGCCCCAGTGGACTTGTCCTGGCCCAGTAGGTGCTGGCTCCCTGGGCTGGGAAGGCTCATTATATGCTTTCTGAGCTCTTGCCTCTGGCAGAGTGTGTTCTGGGGACTGATCTGGGTCTCTGCTGGGGTCAGGAGGCACAGGGTGCTGGCCCTCCTCAGCAGGGGCCAAGGCGCAATGCCCACCCCCACTGCTAGATCCAGCCTGGGCAGTGCCGCCTGGCTGTGCCTGGGGCTTGGGCTTGTGTTTGCTCTGGGAGGCCGAAGGGAGCAGTGCCAGCCCTGCACACACAGCTTGCTCTGTTCTGGGGCCAGAGAGAGGGAACGGGTGGGGGGCAGCTCTCCTGGGAGCCCGGGCACGGAGGCTGGAGTAGGCAGGGGGCCCAGGCCCCTGGATGCCTGACTGGGACAGCTCCGAGGCCCTGGGATTTACAGCTGCAGCTCTGTTTCTCTCCATCTGGTTGGCAAGTCCTTTCTGGGTAAACGGAACAGACTCAAGAGGAAGCAAGGGGAAGTGCTGAGGACCCTGGTGGGGCCAGCTGCTCTGCCCTCTTCTGCTCTGTACCCAGGCCCTTCCATTGTAGACCTGAGCTCTTCCTCCTGTTAGCTGAGGGGTGGAAGCCTGCTCAGGCCAAGCATTCTCGCAGCTGCTATAGCCAGTGGGTTTCCTGGTCTTCAGGTGGATGTCATTTATTTTCCATTCATCTACTAACTCCTGTGCCTGGAGAGACACAAGCTGGACCCCCAGGAAGTCTCTGTCAATGACTAGGGATGGGTCCTGTCCTGTAGTCACAACCCAATGGGATATGTATCCTGATAGAGGGGTCACAAGAGGCTGTGGGAGTAGGGATGGAGGAAATGAGCAGGTGACTGGAGAAAATCCCTTGCTCTGAGTTTTGAAGGTTGGAAGGGTTCATCAGTTTGGGGAGTAAAGTGATAAAGCCCTGCTTTGAGGGCAACAAGTACACTGTCCTCTGGGGCCTGGTGGTGTCTGGTGGTGTCCCTGGGGCTTGCTCAGAGGAGGAAGTGACTTCCTTCTAGGGGCTTGAATCAGTGCTGAGGAAAGCTGAGACCCTGCCCAGAGACAGAAGGGGAGTGGCTGCATGCCACTGTGTCTTGTAGCCCCTGGGAGTGTTGGCTCTGGGGCTGGAATCTGCCTTGCCCTCCTCCGCAGTTCTGGAGCACACTCTCATAACTGGCTGATTACCTGCCTGTCTCCCCCTGCTGCCCCAGACTCTGGGTTTTTTGAGGGTGGGGCTGAGTTACTCATTATCCATGGAGCCCTCTGGGACCTCAGTGGATGCTGTGGAGCAGGATGAGTGTCCTTTGTGACTGTAGGGCCCCCTCACATTTCTTGTTTGTTGCCTGTTTGAGTCTTACACCAACCCTGGCACCAAAGCAGACCAGGAGGCAGAATTTCTATCTTAGGAGGGAGCTGTGGCCCCCAAGGAGAGGACAGTAAAATGCAAGTGTTCAAGCTTCATGGCCAAGATAAGACTCAGGCCTCCTGGCTCCCAGTCTGCTCTTCCCAGAACAAGGAGCTCCTGGGGTGTGGCTGGGCACCCGCTGACCTGGCCTGGTCTGGTAAAGGGTCGCCTTGTCGTTCACAGAGAGGCCACAGGCCCTGGCTTGGGCAGGCATCCTCTTCTCTCATCTGCGGTCAGGGCAGTGGGGCCCTCTGCCTACTACCCACCCCCGTCTGCCATGTAATCCCTGACTGGACCGTGTGACCCGCCTGGCATTCTCCTGGCTGGAATCTGGCGCTTCTGACAGCAGTTGCTATATCGGGGGAGCTGGGCACCACCCTGGACGCTGTCAGCCCCACCCTTACCCCCTGCTTTGCTCTTGTTAGCTTCAAGGCAGAATCACAGTGGCAGCTTTGAGAGGTGGACACCCAGGTCCCTGAAGTGATCTCTAGGCCCCAGGTATGTGGAGTGAGGTGGTGGGGAGGGTAGACCCAGGGCAAGAGGATGAGCTTTGAAACTGCCATTGTTGCCCCCACCCGGGACCCTCCTGGGGATTTCCAGACTCCTGCCTGCTAAGTCCTAGCTCTGAGCAGTTTCTTGGGTGGTGGGAATGGCAGTGGGGGCAAAGCCTAGGGGTAGGAGAGGGTCTTTTCCTATCTCTAAAAGTGTGTGTCTGGCTACTCTGCTTACCCGTCTGCCCTCTACAGCCCTAATCCGCCACCATTCCGTGCTGCGGGGACACCATGGCTCCAGAGGAAGATGCTGGAGGGGAGGCCCTGGAGGGCAGTTTCTGGGAGGTGAGTGGCTGGGTCCCAGGTTTGGGGATGGCACTGAAATGCCCACCCCTCTTTGGGCCCAGCCACCTGTCCAGGGGAGGAGCCTAGCTGTCAGCCCCAGCCCTGGAGAGGGCTTCTCTCTGGTGACATCACCCTTCTTGTGTTTCCCCCAGGCCGGCAACTACCGGAGGACAGTGCAGCGGGTGGAGGATGGGCATCGGCTGTGTGGGGACCTGGTCAGCTGCTTCCAGGAGCGCGCCCGCATCGAGAAGGCCTATGCCCAGCAGCTGGCCGACTGGGCCCGCAAGTGGAGGGGCGCAGTGGAGAAGGGTGAGCCAGCACTCAGGCCTCACTGGGAGCAGAGGGCCGCCAAGGGTGGGGCGACCAGTCAAGATAGCTTCTTTTTGCACCTCCTGTGGAAAGTTTGAGGCTTCCACATCTGCTTTCCCTTTAAAGAGGGAGGATCCTTCTGGTTATTCTTAAGGTTGTGCTGTTAGAGTTTGCAAAGTATCGTCATGAGTTATTTTGCAATTTCTAACAACCCAATGATGGAGATGGTCCTGTTCTACCCACTTTCTAGAGGAGAATGTGGCAGTTCAGAGAGGCTAAGTGACTTGCCTGAAGTCACACAGTTAAGAAGAGCTAACGCTTAAGCCCAGGCCTTCTGACTTGGGAGCTTGGGATCTTTCCTAACAAGCTTCCTTCCTCTGGGATGGACACTAGTTCCTCCCCTGGGGCAATAGAGTGTAGTGCTTTATATCACAGACCTGGGTTTGAATCTCATCTCCACTTGTAGCTCTAATGCTTTGAGCAATTAACTTCACTTCTCTGGGCCCCTGTTTTTTTTTTTTTTGCTTTTTAAATATTGCTCCTTACACTGTCTTCATGGTGGTGGTTGAGGCAAGGATTTGGTGAAATCTCGTTATGTCCAGGCACAGAGGACGTATTCAGTAAGCAGCCCCTGACTTCGTTATTGTTCATCTTTGCATTCCCACTCTGTGCCTAGCACCCAGAGAAGCACCTGAAGAGAGGGGGTGGGCTCATTGCAAGTGGCATCTTGGGTCCAGCCCCAGCCCTACCCCTCCCCGCAGGCCCCCAGTATGGCACACTGGAGAAGGCCTGGCACGCCTTCTTCACGGCGGCCGAGCGACTGAGCTCACTGCACCTGGAGGTGCGGGAGAAGCTGCAGGGGCAGGACAGTGAGCGGGTGCGCGCCTGGCAGCGAGGGGCCTTCCACCGGCCTGTGCTGGGTGGCTTCCGAGAGAGCCGGGCTGCCGAGGATGGTTTCCGGAAGGCGCAGAAGCCCTGGCTAAAGAGGCTGAAGGAGGTGAGCCTGGGAGGGATGGGCAGCAGAGGCCTGACTTTCTGGGGTCAGCCCTGGCCTAGAGGGGGTCAGGGCATGCATGGCATGCAGGGTCCTGAGTGGTCCCTCTGTGTGTGTGCCAGGTTGAAGCTTCCAAGAAGAACTACCATGCAGCCCGGAAGGAGGAGAAGACAGCGCAGACTCGGGAGAGCCACGCGAAGGCAGACAGTGCTGTCTCCCAGGAGCAGCTGCGGAAGCTGCAGGAGCGGGTGGAACGCTGCTCCAAGGAGGCCGAGAAGGTACTGGCTGTGGGATGGGGCCAGCCTGGGTCAGGGCTTCCTGAGTGTCTTTTCCAGTGCCCAGCACTCTTACTGCTCTAACCCTTACCTGCCAACTTCTCTCCGGGTTATCATTTCAAGGAGGAACCTGAGAAAGATGATGCTTTTCTCAGGAATGGTGTGGTTTCAGGCCCTGGGATAATTTTAGTAGTTGAAGAGAACTTCCTAGCTCCTTTCCTTTCACAATGTCCCACCTGGGACAAGCTCTCAAGTGGTCTGCTCTGCAAGAGTGCCCTTCCTCCAGCTCTACATATCCAGATCCTCCCTGTCCTCTCAGGGCTGCTCAGTGTCCACCTCCTTCTGGAAGCCTTCTCTGATTTCTCCCACTGCTCCCCATAGGTTGACCTCCTCTCACTGTCCACCTGAATGTCACCTCCCTTCTAATGCTCCTGGGGTCCTAGAGGGCAGGAGCCAGTTTTGGGACCCTGGTGCCTAGCCCAGGGTCTAGCCCACACCAGGTGCTTAGTAAATACTCACAGAGTCCTGAGCAGAGAAGGTCTGGTCCTCACCAGACCCCCTCCTCTCCCACCCAGATGAAAACCCAGTATGAGCAAACACTGGCGGAGCTGCATCGCTACACCCCGCGCTACATGGAGGACATGGAGCAGGCCTTTGAGACCTGCCAGGCCGCCGAGCGCCAGCGGCTTCTCTTCTTTAAGGATATGCTGCTTACCTTACACCAGCACCTCGACCTCTCCAGCAGTGAGAGGTACGACCTGTGGGGTGGGCGTGGAGATCTGGGGTGATGCTGGGTCTCATCCATTGCCTCTCTGGGCTCTGGCTGGGCTGAGATTCCAGAGGCCCAGAGCCTGAGGGTCGTACCTGGGCCACAGGTTCCAAGAACTCCACCGAGACCTGCATAAGGGCATCGAGGCAGCCAGTGATGAAGAGGATCTGCGCTGGTGGCGCAGCACCCACGGGCCAGGCATGGCTATGAACTGGCCACAGTTTGAGGTACATGTCCTCTCAGGAGGGCTGGGGCTGGGAGGTGGGGTGGGCTCGCAATATGCTTAGCCTGGACCTCACGAGGGAGGCTGGAGCTTGAGATGAAAGAGGTGAAGGTGGTCTGGATGGCCCTGGCTGCCACCACAGCCTGCAGCCCAGTCTGACCCTGGGCACTGTTCCTGCAGGAGTGGTCCTTGGACACACAGAGGACAATCAGCCGGAAGGAGAAGGGTGGCCGGAGCCCTGATGAGGTTACTCTGACCAGCATCGTGCCCACAAGAGATGGCGCTGCACCCCTACCCCAGACCCCTGGGTCCCCAGGGTGAGAGCTGGGATCCTGGCTGTGGGAAGGAAACAGCTCTGCCCCCTGCCCTGCCCTCTCTTCCTCTGACTCCATCTTTTCACTCCCTTCACACCTGAAGTGGGTTGAAAATTGGTGCTAGGGACTTTAGGACCTACTTATGAGGTGTAATGATGCCAGTTTTAATGGTGGTTGAGATGTGCCACGCATTTCCCATGCTCCCCCTCATCTACTGCTCACATCAGCTCCGTGAGGCAGGAAGAGTCCCTGAGATCACAGGCATGCATGGCAGAAGTTAGATGAGAATCTTGCAAGTTTTTCCCACCTGCCTCTCCCAGGGTTCCTCTGGGAGGGGGGTGAGTCCTAGGCCTTCTCGCTCAAAGTGTTCCCTGTGCCTTGAGCCTGCCCCTTGTCCTCCTCTCTCCAGCGGCGGGCAGGATGAGGAGTGGTCGGATGAGGAGAGTTCCCGGAAGGCTGCCACTGGGGTGCGGGTGCGGGCACTCTATGACTACGCGGGCCAGGAAGCTGATGAGCTGAGCTTCCGAGCAGGTACCCTGGACCCCTTTTCTGGTTCTTTCTAAACTTCAGCCTCCCCGCCCCTCTCCCCCACACCTTTACTAGCCTGGGCAGGAGTGTGGAAAAGGGAAGTCAGACACACTTCTCAAGGGCCAGTTCTCTGACACTAAAGGCTGCTCTGGGTCCAGCCCTGAGGAATCAGAGTGTCTGCTCAGAGCCCTTACCTGACTCTGAAAGTCACCAGCAGGACACTCACTGCTGCATTCAGGGTCAGGGGTTGACTTTGATTTCCCTCGGCCTGAGCCAGGTCTCTTCTAGCTGGGTTCTCCTACTGCACCCCACCCCCACTCAGTCCTTGACCCAGTTGCAGGGATGGGGCTGGGCCAGGACAATTGCCAGTGACCAGTCCCCCTTCCCGCAGGGGAGGAGCTGTTGAAGATGAGCGAGGAGGATGAGCAGGGCTGGTGCCAGGGCCAGCTGCAGAGTGGCCGGATTGGCCTGTACCCTGCCAACTACGTGGAGTGTGTGGGGGCCTGACCTGTCCTGACAGCCCTTCTACAACGTTTCTCCAACCTGAGTCAGAGCCCAGCTTCTTCTGGACAGCTGGACCTAAGGGCTCTGGACCATCCTGCCACTGCTGCCTCTCTGGCCCTTGAGGAGGGAGAAAGTCCTGGGACCCAGGGAGGGGAGGGGCCTGTGTCTAGGAAGGGACTGGTAGGGAAGGGCCAACTGAGTCTAGGCTGAGGGGAAGATGGAGCAGTCAGGAGGTGACAGAAAGGCTCAGTGGTGCCTAGGCCTTCCTAGGTGTCCTCCAGTCTCCCCAGGAGCTGTGGACCCAGGTCCTGGTCTCTGTGTTTTGGGGTTCCTTGGGTGGGCTTGGGATGAGTGTAGTTCTGGGTTAGCAGCTCTGTTTTGTGGCTTGTTCTAGTGTGTATTAAACTTGGGGGGAAAAACCCCAAACACTCTCAGGCTTGCGTGCAACTTTTTTGCTACTCCACCCTTGCCAGGCTGCCGACGGCATCTGGAGAGAGGCACTGAGGCGAGGTCCGTGGGCCTGGAGTATACTATGGGGGCGGGGGTTGGGCAAAAGTTTGCTAGCTTAGTATCTGCTCTGGAAGGGACTCAAGATCAGCCTTGGTGTGAAACGACCAAGCCTGGAGGCTGGGTGCTGAGTTCTGAGTGGGGCTGGAGCTCAGCCAGTTTACCTTCCCGTTCAGACCGGCGGGACCACGAGTGCTCGGAAGGACTGTTAATCATTACTCATTTCGAGAACTCGCTCAAGAAGAGGACGGCTCCGTGGCCCCGTAACCCACGTCTCTGGGAGGTGGCTCCACCTTCTGGGGGTGGCTGGGCGTGCGGGTGGCTCTGTGGCGAGGATTGGGCCGGCGGTCTAGCCGTCGCCCCGCCCCGGCTGCCGATTGGCCTGGGCGCGGCGCGGTGAGGAGTCGGGCGACCGCGGTGGATCCGGGAGCCGTGACGTTTAGGCGCCTGCTCCACCAGCAGCTCATTGGTCTAGATCGGGACAAATCACCCCATCCCTGGGCGGGCCGGCCCCCGCTGAGGCCCGCCCAGTGACCTCCCTTCCCGGCCGCGGATTGGCCCGTGACGGGACCCGTCGGTCGCGCTGGTGTCTGGGAAGGAGAGAAAATGGCGGCCGAGCCGAGCAAGACAGAGATCCAGACTCTTTTTAAGAGGCTTCGCGCAATTTCGACCAACAAGGTGCGTGACCCGGGGGCCCAGCTCTGGCCGAGAGGGACTCTCGGGGCTCTCCTGGGGCCTGAGTGAGGGAGAGGAGCGGGCGTGGGCTGTCTTCCTGGAGTGTCAGCGCCCGGCCTCGACTCGGGGCCCCTGACCGTTCGCCCATCGCCTTTTCCCCTCAGGCCTGCTTCGACTGTGGCGCCAAGAATCCGAGCTGGGCCAGCATCACGTACGGTGTTTTCTTGTGCATTGGCTGCTCCGGGGTGCACCGCTCCCTGGGCGTCCATCTCAGCTTCATCAGGTGGGGTCTCCTTGCGGCCGCTGTGCTTCTACCCGGCCGGCCAGGACTGTGCTCAGGAGGGGAGAGTGGCTGCTGGACTTGGACGGCCCTGAGTTCGGTGTTCCAAATCTCTCACGGGAGGGAACCGCCAGTGTGGGCGCCTTGCCACACCGGCGGTCCGTCTCCGCGTCTGGGTCAAACTCCTTTCATCCCTGGTGGTCACACTTGACACTCCGAGCGTTAGTTTAAGGGAAAAGTTACCGGCGTCGATCTTGTTGCTGATGCGCGGATCGAGTACAACTGGAGCGAGACTGTGGCGGTCCTTCAGGGGAAGGCCGAGTCCAAGCTTGAGTGCCTGAGAATTCGACCTCCTTTCGCGTCTGGAAAATAATTAGTAGCCTTTTGATTAGATGAATGAAGAGCAAAGCTTTCACGGACGGGGCAGAGTGGAGGAAACAGGGTGGTGGCTGATGAATATTTCCTGGGCACCTACTGCAGCCCGAGGCCAAATGACAGGCGTGGGTCTGCCAGGGAAGCGTCCCCTGGTACCTGCTGGTAGGTAACACACAGCCCTTGCACACAGGTCCACAGAGTTGGATTCCAACTGGAACTGGTTCCAGCTGAGGTGTATGCAGGTCGGCGGGAATGCCAATGCGGTAAAGCTCCTTACCATCCTCCCGCCCCCTTTCTTCTGTCTGGGTACTGACGTTATAGTGATTTTTTGGAGGCCCTCTCAGTTTCTCTGTTTAGAGGATTCTCTCATCTATGGCAACACTGTACACTCTTTTCTACACTTGGAAATTGGTCACTGTTCTTCTCAAAGGGGCTTTGGACTCAAACTAAACTAGACAGACATTCTTGGGGAAAGCCAAGGGAGTTGGGGCCTCCACAGTCATCCAGGTCTTGTGGGCCTGGATGAAGGAGGGGCAAAGTGGGTCCGGCATGCTGTCCTTAGGCAAGGTTGAGTGAGGGCTGGGCTTCAGTCATTCATCTCAGAGGATGGGAGGCTGTGTTTTTTGCAGGAGTTTCTGAGGAACTTCATGAAAAACTGGTGTCAGTAGAATGTATCATCCTGTATAACCGTGCTGTTAGAAAGGAGTGCCTCTTTTGCTCTGGGGAGCATCACCTGTAGCATGTTCTCTCTTTGGTCTCTAGACAGCTTTCTTCCGCCAACATGGATGCACAGCCAATGATGCCAACACCAAATATAATAGCCGAGCTGCCCAGATGTACCGGGAAAAGATCCGGCAGCTGGGGAGTGCAGCCCTGGCTAGGCATGGCACTGATGTAAGTGCCTATTCCCTGGGACTGGGGTCATGGGGTGAATGGGAATATTCAGAGTCTTGTGATTCATTGGTGTCTTCTCCTTTCCAGCTTTGGATAGACAACATGAGTAGTGCTCCCAGTCACTCCCCAGAGAAGAAGGACTCTGATTTCTTCTCAGAACACACTCAAGTGAGTGCCCACAAGGAATGTTTCCCACAATTGTTCCTGACAGGTGGTTTACTTACTAAGTCCAAGGCCCACGATCATGAGCATGATCCACTCCCCTTGGTGTGGTACCTCAGACGGGGAATGTCTGGGACCCACTGCTGGATAGACCCAGGTGTTTCCTCCTCCCATACTGGGGATGCGGTGTGGTCCTCCTTAGAAACAGACTCCTATAAACTGGGGTGGTAGGGAGGAGGAGAAGCATCTTAAAGCCTCAAAAGTTATCAGGAGCCCCAGACAGCTTTTCCTGGATTTTTCAGCTATGAGAAAGGCTCTGTAGTTGAGGACATTGAAAGGATTCCCTCCCTAGCAACCCCTCCCTTGGGAGGAGGTTTCCCCTGTATAGGCGCTGGGTGCTGAAGTCAGACTTTCTCTGTTTGAATCCCTGCCCCTCTACTTAGCATTTCTAGAGTGGTAGCTAAGACACCTAATGAGTCAAAACTTCAGTTTCTAAGATGGAGAACATATCTATCTCATAGGGTTTGTTGTAATATTTAAATGTATTTCTTTGTGAAAAGCCCTTAGACTTGTGCCTGGCACATGGTGAGTGCCCAGTGGTTGTTGGTTGTTATTAAATTAGGGGAATGGGTTCTGGCTCTTAAGTAAATAGTGGAGGGATGGGAGTGGCTGCTAGTTTCTTGCTTGTTTCTTCCATGGTGAATAGCAACTATAATTTTACTTGCTAACCTCCAGTCTCCTTTCCTTGTGGCTTGGAGTGGGGCCTTGTACCCACAAGATACTTGGTGCTCCTTGTCAGCAGGAATGACTCATCAAGGTTTCTCCCATCTGGCTTTTTCAGCCCCCTGCCTGGAATGCACCAGCCACTGATCCATCAGAGACCCAGCAGCCAGCCCCGTCTGCAGAAAGCAGTGGCCTGGCACGTGAGTTCAGCCCGGATTTCAACCATGTGCCCTGGTCCTAGCAAAGGACTCAGTGGCTAGGGATGGGACACCTGGCCAAGGGAATGGGAATAAGGTCTCCTGTATCTCTGGGTGGGCTGGGATTCATTTCAGTCCTTTGAAGGAAGTGGTGGGCATTCCTTCTATCTTTTGGTGGCCTCAGAAAGCTGAGGAAAGCCAGTGCCCCTACTCTTGTCCCATCACTTCCCTTAATGGGAGGTCATAGGAAGCTTTGAGCCTTACACCTAATTCCAGATTGCATCCACAGATCCAGAGCATGGCCCCAACATGGACCTGCTTGGCACCTCACCCAAAGCGACTCTGGGTCAGTATGCCAGCTGGCAGGTGTGGTGTGCCTGGGAGAGGGTAGGCCTCGAGGGTTCGTTTCAGATCTGTTGCTGCCTGGTCATGTGGACTGAGGTCCCAGGAGTCCGAGCATCTGATCTCTCTGGAGTGGGGCCTGGGATTAAATTGGCTGTAGCACTGACCACAAGAACTTTAGAGCAGGCCCATTGCATTGATGAACCTGGGCGGTTGGTGTCCCCGGCCTGGGTTCTGCCTCCAGGTGTGGGGCTGGGTCTGGTTAGCATGAGACTGGACACCTAATCCTGGGGGCTGAGGTAGGATTGGCCTGTCTGGTCCATTTCTTGGGATACGGGGACAGCTCTGAACTGTAAATGGCTGAAAGTGACATTGTCCTTTCTCAGCCAGTCCCTGGCCTTTTAGCTCTTTTCTATTCTTTTCTTAATGTTCTTCAGACTTAGTTCAGGGTGAACAGTCCACTTGCTGCCCTGAGTTTGTTCTGTTGACCTTTGGGAGTTGGGGCAGGAAGCCAGCAGAATGACCATCATACTGACCCCATGAGAAGGCTGGCATGGCCTAGTCTGGAATGAGGCTCTGTAGGGGCTACTGGGAGTACCTTTGGCTACTGGGCTTGGGAGCTATATGAAGGCTCTGGGGTGGGCACCTTGTAAGTCATAAGTCTGTTTCTCTCCAGAGTCCATGTGTCTGTCACCTAAAGGGGCTCTTCCTGCCAGAGGTAACCAACAGCCGCTTGGAGAGCCTGGCCCTCACACCAGCTCTGTGCTCTAGGAGCGAGGGCTAGAGTTTGGCCCCTGCCCGCTGCCTGGCAGTCTTCGTGTTGGGTCAGGGACTTTGTCTCTGGTGCTCGAGTCTGGGTTCCTGTGTCAGTCTGCTGGGAGCCAGCGGCCTCCCCTAATCTGTCTGTCTTGGCTTGGATGTCCTGACACCGTTGGTTGGAACTGGTGGTGGCAGCTTTGCCTCCCCCTGCGTGAAGCTGTTCTCTGTAGAAGCTCTTGCCAGGAAGCTGCATGATGTGGACTGAGCTTCTGCCTCTGACCTCCCTTTGTCTTCTCTTATGCCTCACTCTCTTTCTCACACAGAACTGAAAACCTCCCTCATTGGCAAGAAGAAGCCAGCAGCAGCTAAGAAAGGGGTAGGTGAGGAGAGGCAGTATTGTAGATGGTTAGGAGCTGGAGTCACACTGCCTGGGCTCCCCTCTTGACCTGACCACTTACTGGCTGTATGACTTCGGCAAAGGTGCTTCACTTCTTGGCACTTTACCTGGGAAAGGGCTGTCAAAATGCCTGTCTCCAAGGGGCTCCCGGGAAGAGTCGGTGAGATTTGTGCACGTAAGTGCTTAGCATATCCCGGTAGTGCTGGCTGTTGTCCTCAGGCCCTGAGGCCTCTGCTGGGGTTGTGTGAGCCACCTCTGCCTGGTTTCAGCAGGACCAGTTCTCCCTCTCCACCATGCTCCTATTGGGCTCCTATTTTTTACACGAAACTTTAAGAAGGAACCCTTTCCTTGTGAGTGTTTCCATACCAGGGAGGGGACAGAGGATATCGTGCTTGGCAAAGCCCTCATCACATGATTCTCCTCCCAGCTGGGTGCCAAGAAAGGCCTTGGGGCCCAGAAAGTGAGCAGCCAGAGTTTCAATGAGATTGAGCGGCAGGCCCAGGTGGCAGAGAAGCTCCGCGAGCAGCAGGCGGCTGATGCCAAGAAGCAGGCCGAAGAGTCCATGTGAGTGTTTGTGAGAGGGGCCCCAGCTAGCGTGGCGTTGGGTGGCCAGGTAGGACAGGTCACCACAGGTGTTGGCCTCTGACATGTCTGTCTCCTCTAAGGGTTGCCTCCATGCGCCTGGCCTACCAGGAGCTCCAGATTGACCGTAAGAAGGAGGAGAAGAAGCTACAGAATCTGGAAGGGAAGAAGCGCGAGCAGGCAGAGAGGCTGGGCATGGGCTTGGTGTCCCGAAGGTGAGCCTCAGCTCTGGGGTGTGGCAGGGAAATGCCATTGTTCTCCTGGGAACCACTGCAGGTTCTTCCTAGCAGTTTGGGCTTCTAGGCTTAGTGTTCCTCTGAGGCTGAATAATGACTTTGCTGATTGTCTTAAAGCACCCGGTACATGCTTGGCACATAGTAGGCATGTGTTTGCTAAGTATTTGTTGAACAAGTGAAACACAGGATCAATCCAGTAGACTAGGGTGGTGTTTCTTAATGAGGGTGCTAACTGCTTTGAATAGCAGGACAGTTCTTTATTTTTCAAGACCTTCTTGAGAATTGCAGGATTTTTAGCATCTCTAATCCTTGTCCACTAATTGTCATTAGTGCTGCCAGATACCCTAAACACTGCGAAATACCTCCAGACGTGCAATGCTCTTTGCTTGGGTGGTACCCGTCCTGTTTTAGGACCACTGTGTTTGTGTTGCTGTGGTTTCCTTAAACAAAAACAAGGGCTGCAAATCAGTTCTCTTATGCATTTTGTTTGCATTACACTAAGAGTTAATGTCTAGAGATTTCAGTAATATTACGGTTTTTTTAATCTCTCTTAAAAATCGGAATATCTGGCAGTGCTGAGGGGAGCAATCCTGGCTACAGTGAGCTTGTGCTGAGAGGAGGCTTTCCAGGGGGCATGAGCTCCGCCAATGGCCTTATTTCCTTAAACACAACAGTCCTGGGCAGGAGGTGTTGTTACCCCTTTTGCAAATGAGAACATTGAGACTCACAGCAATTATGCAACTTGCCTGAAGCCCAGAAATCTAGTATTTGGTACAACTAGATTTTGAACATAGTTTTCCGTTTGATTTCATATCAGTATTTGTAGCCATTATGCTCTGCTTCTCTGGAAGAAGATAAAGCTGGGTATTTCTGCTTAATCTCTCAGAACATGTGCCAGTTGGATTTAAGTTATTCCCTTTCAGTCTGTGGGCTACTAGTGTAACCCACAAGTAATCAGGGTAACAAAATTTTAATCCCCAAAGGACTTTAGGTCTCTTCCCCTTCCCTGTTTTGGTCACCAGAATTACTGGATTAAAGGGTATATTCAAAGTGTTTTTTTGTTTTCTTTTCTGTAGTACAATAGAATCTTTTATTTAAACTCAGCTTACCCTATTTAAAACCCTCCTGCAAAATACTCACTCCTTGGAGTCCTGACAGCCAGAAGCTGTAGATATTTTTAAATGAATTTATTTAAATGAAATTAATCCTTAAAATGCCTCTGTGGACTTGACACAGGAGGAAAGAGGCATCATGAGTTGGTACTGCTGCCAAATTCAATGCCTCTTCTCTTTGGAAAGCCTTAAAAAAAAAAAGGATGGGATAATTAAGAACTCACCCTTTCATGCCATTAGACTCATTTCCCTGGTTTGGGGCATTTTTCTTTTTTCCTTTCTGTTTGTATGTGACCATCTTGGTGAATGATATGGCTTATGATGCAGTAAGTTAAGGACAGAAAGCACTATTATTTGATGCATATTATCATTAAAATTAAAACAGGGAAACCTTACTTTGAGAAAACAAAACTATTGTGTTAACTGGTGAGGTGTGCTCTCCAGTACAGCACAGTTCCGAGCACTCCCTGCTGAGTCTTGCCCAGCCCTGGGCACACAGGTAGGGGAAGAAGGCTCTGGGTGGTGCCCAGCAGCTGGGCATCTTCTCGTGTGGCAGTTCTGATGCTCACCCCTGCTCTCCTGCCCTGGCCCTGCTTTTTTCTGCAGCTCTGTCTCCCACTCAGTGCTGTCTGAGATGCAGGTGATCGAGCAGGAAACCCCAGTGAGTGCAAAATCTTCCCGCTCGCAGCTGGACTTGTTTGACGATGTTGGTACTTTCGCCTCTGGACCCCCAAAGTAAGGCCAGTGTTGGGGCACAGGCTTGGCCATTGTGTTCCTCATCAAGCTTTTCTGAGCCACTCTTCTGTCTCTCTAGGTACAAGGACAACCCCTTTTCCTTGGGGGAGAGTTTTGGTTCTCGCTGGGATACAGATGCTGCCTGGAGTATGGACAGGATGGAGGAGAAGGAGCCAGAAGTGACCATCTCAAGCATCCGGCCCATTTCAGAAAGGTGGAGTCCTCTCGGGTCACACTGTCCAGGAGGACTCTGTGGTGATGGTGGAATCTGTATCTGCACTGTCCTGTATGGTAGCCACTAAGCATATGGCTACTGAGTCTTTAAAAAGTGTCCAGTGTCAACTGAGAAACTGAGTTTTTAATTTAATTTAAATACATTTAAGTAGCCACGTGTGGCTAGTGGTACCAGATCAGAGTGCAGGAATCAGGCTCTGGTTTGAGCAGGGCTTTACTGTCACAGAAGGCCTGAGAGCCTTCTTGAGGCCCATTTCTCTGGCAGGAGGGGCCTATTTTTATGTTTCAGTTCAAGGGTTATATGTCTTTGGTTCTTGCCTAGTGTTATTTTAAAAAGCATATTCCATGCTAAATCTAGGTAATGCTTAACTGATAAACTATCTGCAAATAATCCAGTTGTGAAATGGAGACATGAGTAATGGCTTCACAGGGCTGCCTTAAGGATTAAGTGTAATGAGACTTATAAAGCACTTAGCCCAGTGTCTGCATGTCAGGGCTTAGGTGGGAGTGACCATACACCTTTTCATCCACACTGGGATGCTTTTGAGAGTTAAAAAGGGGTAACAGTTATGCCAGGAGAGTAGGTATAAATCCAGGCAAACCGAGACATGTGGTCACCCTCATGGTTTGGTGCAGAAGCCTAGCCTGCACCATATTGGAGGTGATAGAAGCTCTCTGTGCCTTGGCTTCAGGGTGGAGAAGAGAGGGCCCTCGAGTCCCAGAGCCACAGTCGGATGGGGCCATGGTGAGCATCCTCAGAAAGCCACTGGTGCTTTTTTTGGCCTCTGGTCGTTATGGGATAGTGACACTACAGTGATACTATTCTCTGATAGTAATGAGAAGAGTCAGAGCTGTTGTCCCACCTCTGCCCCTCAGAGTCACAAACCGGAGGGAAGTGGAAAGCCGGAGCTCAGGCCTCGAGTCAAGTGAAGCACGTCAGAAATTTGCAGGAGCCAAAGCCATCTCATCTGACATGTTCTTTGGGAGGGAGGTGGATACTGAGGTGAGCAGAGTTGTCTACCTTGAGCCTGGAGGCAGCACCTAGAAGCAGAGCTTCTTCCCTACCACTTTGGGCTTTAGCCCCAGGGTGGCGGGGCCAGTATGAGTCCATGGATCACTGGCCCAGGGATCCCCAGGCCTTGCCTTCTCTTCACCACAGTATGAAGCCAGGTCTCGGTTACAGCAGCTCTCAGGCAGCAGCGCCATCAGCTCTTCAGACCTCTTTGGGGACATGGATGGAGCTACTGGAGCAGGTTGGTACCACACGAAGCCTTGAGTAGAGGTGGAGGGTTCTCTGGACTGGGAGGGGCTTCCTGCCGGGCTCGGGGTCACCCCTTCCCTTGCTTTTGTAGGTAGCGTATCTCTGGGGAACGTGCTGCCCACAGCTGACATTGCCCAGTTTAAGCAGGGTGTCAAGTCCATGGCCGGGAAGATGGCTGTGTTGGCCAATGGTGTGATGAATTCTTTGCAGGTGAGGCTGGGGCTGCTTGACCTGGGGTGGGAAGGACCTAAAGCATAGTGCTGTGAAGTTAGCCTTCTCCACCATATCCAGACACTGCTGTAGGGTAGCCCTAGCCGAAGTGAGCACGTTTTCCTTTCCTGGAAGGGCAGCTCCTTCCTTGGAGCTTGGTGCCAGGGTTGGGCCCCTCCCTAAGATGATGCTGTGTTCTACTCCTTTTCCCGCACTCTTGTCATCTGGACTATTTCTCCCGTCCCCGCTTCGGTAGATCAGGTGGGGCTTCCCTCTTGGGATCTGGCCAGACCCCTTTCCTGGGTTACAATACAATAGAAAACAATTACTGCCGTGTTGAGCTTGGTGGCCGAGTACCCCGCCCGGCCCTCCCCCAAGTCCCCGAGTCCCGTGGGTGGGGTGTGTTGGGGGAAGGTGTGCTCACTGGGAACCTGCCACAGTTTGGAGTCTCTGACTTTGTTTTTTCTTCCCCCATCCCCAGGATCGCTATGGTTCCTACTGATCCAGGCTCCATTGCTCAGGCACATGGTGGTGACAGCAGCAGAGACCTCATGATCCCCAGGCCAGGGGTGCTCGCCTTGTGGAAGCTGAGGAGGAATTGTGACTTTATACATGTGGTGTGTGAGCGGGGTGGCCTTTGAGGATCTCGGGTGATGGGTCGGCAGTACCAGCCCTGACCTCTTCCTGTAGGTTGAGCCCTTCATTCTCCTCCCCTTGCACCCCCACCCCTGCGTGCTAGATGATTGTTCTTCCAGTCCTGCCCCCAAAGCTGCTGCTCACTTGTCCTGCCACACTGGGAATGAGGGGTCGGAGTTCCCTCAGGATGGCTTATTCTGGGTCCAATCCTTCCCCAAGTAGGGAAAGTAAAAAGTATAAGGCTTTTTTGCCAGCTCTAGGATCCCTTCAGGTCGTCTGGGGTTTGGCCTCTGTCCCCTGGAACCAGTGGGAGGTCTAGAGAGAGTTCTGCTGTTGACCAGCCTGCAGGGGAGGGAGGCTCTGGACTTGCTGCTGCTGTTGCTGCTCCAGTGGTCTCTTCCGGGCACCAGGAGAGGGCAGGGGAAGGGAAGGACCTTTGTCTGGGCCTTACTAAGGGCTAGAAATGTTACCTGGTACCTGAAGGTTCATTTGGGATCAGACTGGAGGCCCGAGTGATCTTCTCCTGTCTCACCACCCCTTTTTTACAGTGACCACTTGGAGGGTTACTTCTCCTGGTGTCTCGGGTCCTCCCATACCATCCATTGTGGAGCACAGGACCCTCTGTCCCTTCTTCCCCTGCTTGGTGGCCATGGTGGGTCTCATCTGCCCTGTGCTCTGCTTTGGCATAATGCTGGCCAAGGAAGCAGAGGATGTGAGGGACAGAAGCAGGCTCCTGGGGCTCAGCTTTCTTGTCTGCATCATCGTGGTCTTAGGGGGCCTGGACAGTACCCCCCACGGAGAGCCTGAGGCGCCTACAGAGCTGCAGGTCTCGTCCCTGGCCACTGGGCCTGCACTGTGTCATCCTTGGTGCCATCTTTCCCTGCCGTGCCGGCAGTCTGGGCCCAACCCGCCCCCTTGGGTTGAGGGTGGGCTCCCAAGCAACACAGACCACTGTTCCCACCACCCCCTCCCCCAAAGGGATGTGACTTTCTTTCTGGACTGTTTGTATTGAAACAAAACGGTGTCAAATAAAGCCCCGACAGGGCCCTGGGCCTCTGTTGGTCTGACTGAAGTAGTGTCCTCTCAGGGTCCTGTCTCCCTGCCCAGTGCAGGCCCTTGCCTCACTCCCTGGGCTACCACCAATACGAGTAGGGCGTCGGTGCCGAAGCTGAGGGCTCTCTCTCCAGGGCCTCCAGTTTTTCTCTTCTTTGAAAGCCAAAGGCCCCTGGCTCCTTGGCCCTGTGCTGCCGCGAGGTCCGGTGCAGCCTCGACCTCACCACCCTGTTGCACGCGGAGGAAAGAGCTGGTATTAGTTGGCTCTTTAACTCATCCACTGAGCCATGTGGCTGCAGGCAGGCAAGCGACTTCAGCCCTGCACCTCATCCCAACCATAAGCTTGGTTCAGGGCGTGTTTTTCAGTGGAGTTTTAAAACTAAATAAAATATACAGACCTTAATGGAACCCTCCAGGAAGAAAGGACATATGTGTGTGTAACCCTTTTAAATCCAGGAAGAAAGGATGTGTGTGTGTGTAAAATAAACCCCTGGCTTGGCAACCCTAGGGTCTCCTGGAACATCTCTGCCACCTTAGGAGAGGTCTTAGGGGAAGTGTAAACTACTGGTCTAGGAGACGGGTGATTAGAAAGGATGAGTGGAGGGAGCTATGGGGCTCTACACCAGTGATTTCCGAAGTGTGGATCTGGGACTTCCAGCTTTGGAGTCATCTGGAGTGTTCATAAGCAGATTTCTGCGCCGCATCCTAAGCTGGAGTGCGGTAATTTGCATTGTAAACAAGCTCCCCAACTGACATGCATGCCAGGATTTTTTGAACTTCTTCAGCTAGAGGCTGGAGATGACTGTGGGTCTGAGACCTCAACCACATGGCCTGAACTTCCCATCCTGGCCCAGTGCTGCAGGGCTTTGGGATCCAGTCTCTTAACTGTCCAGGGGGACTGGTCTGGGCAGGGACAAGCCCAAGAAAATGGTGTGCCCAGTGGCTTCAGAGGAGGAAGCCTGCTCTGCTTGGGTCCCTGGGTGGGTTTACTCTTTGGAGAACCCCTGCCCAGTTCAGGGAAGTCGAATACCACCTGTCTTACCTTCCTCCAGTCTTGGCTGGAAGCTGGTACTCCTCAGCCTGTCTTGTTCACAGCTGCATTCCCACTGCCCTAACCCTGAACAGGTGCTTGGAAAATGTTTAATGAAACTCTGGCTAGAAGACTCTGCAACGCTAACTCTTTGTGGCCAGTCTCTATAAAGTTATGGGAATCTGGCCTTGAACATCTCAGTTTGTTTCCTGAAGGTCTGTTCCAGCTGCGAGCACCTTTCCCTTGAAAGGCTGAAGTCATGTGCAGGACGTAAGCCCCTCTTTGCTCACTATCTGAGGCAGGCCTCCGGGTCTGAGTGGTCCTCCAGCCCCTATTCCCCAGTCCTGCCAGAAAAAGCTAGGCTCAGCACCAAAAACTCAAAACTTGCCCCTTCCCTTCACCCCTCAGTCTAGTGGCTTTAGACTCACCACTTACCAGACACAAGGGACTTTATTCATTTCACATATTTAACTATTAGACACAAGACTTGAAGCAGTTTTTGAAAGTGAAATTGTCTTCTTGCCCACCCTTCTCCATCTTATGGCTAGTGGCTGTTCCTCCAGCAGAAGGCCACCATGGCTAATCCTCTCAATACTTGCATCACTGGGTGTCACCCCTGACCATGCAAAGTCCTGCATGGTATTCACGGTCTCTCCCCTCCTGGAGTTGCTGGGAGGAGACGACCCTTACGTGGGGACGGTCAGCAGAAGGCTAAGGCCAAGTCACCTTTCCGGTGGCCTCAGCTCCATCTGCTGTCAGCCTGGGGCCTGATTAAAGGCTGACAGGGCCAGGGAGAGTAGCCTGTTAACTTAACGAGGGTCGCTGCTTAGCTTGGCTGATCACTAGAACCCCTCTGATGGGTCTTGGCGCTGGGGCCATTATTTGGCATTTTCACCAGCAGAGGGCAGCATGGTACAGAGGTGGGAGAGGAAGCTGAGTGGGTGTCCCAAGGGCTGGCATGGGGGAGCAGGGTACTGCGCACTGCAGAGGAGACCCTTCAGACTCCTCAAGTCTCGGACTCATCTGTCTCTTCAGTGGAGCCATCGCTCTCTGCATCCAATTTGCGGGCGTGATGGAGGGGTCTCCAGGGGGAGCCGACCCGGGGAGGGGTCCGGGAAGGCAGGCAGCTGGCCTCTGGACTGGCAGTGACTGAGTTGACCAGGCCTGGGATCTGCACCAGCCTGAAGGAGGGAAGAAGCCAAGAGGGCAGCAAGGTACCTCCTGTCCAGAGACCAGGACCTCCTCACTCACTCTTGCATATGGATGAAACCATGGGCTGTATCCCTGAAGGACTCAGAGGATCCCTGAGGCCTCTGCTGGCCTCCAAACCCTTCCCTGACAGATAGGGGTTGTTACAGACCAGCGCTGTGTGACCCGTGCCGGGGCGCTGCCATGTCTGGCTGAGGCTTAGCCCCCACAAGGGGGCAGCACCTTCCCACCTGACACTTACAGTCGTTCCAGTGCCTCATCCATAGCTGGGTCGTGCATCAGGTCCCCTTTGTCAGGCAAAGCTCCTAGGAGATAATTGGGGTCACAAAACTTAATCTGAGGGTCCTTCAGCCAGGCCTCAGGCAGCCCCATCCTTAGCAGATGCCTCCATGCCCCTCACCTTCACGCCTGCCTATTCTGCTGATGCTGGAAGGGCAGATCTAACAGATTTGGGGAAGAGGAGTTCAAGAGTACTGCTGTGAGGGCAGTAAGTCTTGGGTACCGCTAGAAAAATTTAGTGAACCCCACTGCCTCCTCTCCCTAGCTTGTGGCAATAAGACCTCCCCGAACCTCAAGGTCATTGCACAAACAGGGCAGTCCCCTTCCAAGACTAGATGGTGAGTTGTGAGCTGGTGCTGGGGGTTTAATCCTTTCCTGAGGCCCCAGGTACTCAGCTGAAAAGAAGCCAGAGACACAGGATATGGCCCAGGCCCCAAAGACAGGAAATTACCTAGTTTTGTGCCTCGAAATCAGGGTGACCCCACTTTGGAGACAGAATGGTCAAACATGATGCCTCAGCTCCTCCAGGGAGGGTCCCCAGGTGAGGAGAGAAGACTGGGACAGGTTCAGACCAAACTCTCCTTTGCGTGGCCTGAAGCCACCAGGCGGAGAGCTGTCCCTTCTCTGCACAACTCCCTTTGAGCAGGTTTCCTCAGCTATCAACCAAGGGCAGTAATTCTTGGATATGGGGGAAAGTGAGAAAAGAGGGTCTTGGGTGCTCCTTGGAGCTGTTAACCGTGGAGGGAAGGTAAAGCTGAGCCTGCAGATAGAAAGAGTCTCACCAGCAAATTGTTAGGGAAAAGAGCTTGCTGGTGGTCAGGGGCTAGATGTGGCAGTTAACAGTGCTGGTCTCTAGAAAGCCTCAGTCTTAAAATTACCCATCTGGCTTTTGTTAAATTCCCTTTTTCAGATGATGCCTCCTGGCCCCATTTTAGTGGTTTTCAAACTATGTTCGACGGAACCCTTGTGTTCGTGTGTGTGTGTGTGTGTGCGCGCGCGTGCACACACGTGCGCGTGGTGCCTTGAGGACTGAGGGAACAGGACAACCCCTCTCTACAACTGGCTGCCGGCTGGCTGCACCCAGGGTTATCTCGGGCCTCTACTGCACACACTGGAGACGCAGGAGGGCGGAGACCATGTGCTCTTTCCTTCTCCCACTTGCCCAGCACCAGTGCTCTGTTAAAGCAATTGAATGAACAACTGTCCTTTTTAAAGGCCCTAGAAAAAGTGAGGGCGTGAGGTTAGTCCAGGCTGTGACCCAGCTGCTATTTGGCTTTTTCCTTTTCCTTCCTAGGGGCTGACTGGTGGGAAGGTGGGGAGGATCAGTTACTTAGGAGTGTGAAAGAAAACTGAAGCAAATCCCCACTCCCCGCCCCCTTACTCCTGACTTCTGTCTCCTTTTTGTCTCCTTTGTAGTGCCTCTTCCTGCTGGGGACGCTGGCTATCAACCTCACTCTGTTGAGGGGTCCCCAGACCTGTGCGTGGTGCCTGAGTGGCCCTCCTCGGCCAGTCCTGTGGGGTGTATACTCCTGTGCACCTGGAGCACACCCAGCAGGCTCTCTGTCATGCACCATCTAAAGCATCTAGCTCAGTACATGGCTTGCCGTGGCTAGCGTTTAACGAAAGTTCAACTTCCTTCTCTCGATCCCATTCCTGCAACTGGCAAAAGTCATCTTTGAGACTCAGGAACCGGGGATCCCAAGCACACCTGGATACCTCTTGAAGAGAGACTAATAAGAACCCCTCAAGCTCTGCAGTGATGAGAGGCAGTGGGTATGGGGGTGGGTGGGTGGAGAAGGCCAACCAGTGAGAATGAGACGATGGGCAGGAAAAACTGGGCCAGTCCGGGCCTCTCTCCATGCCCCCCTCCCTTTTTTAGTCCCTTTCAGACTAATAAGATATTTCTTCCAGATAGGAATAAAAGGTCTCCTCAGACACACCTTTGCCCTGGTTACAAATGGGATTCAGGTCTCTTTGATACATAAGCTTCAGAGCCACTGATTAAAGTGCCCTGTGCCTGCCCAACCTGTAGGCCTCTCCCCAAAACAGACTGGGGATTCTATGGGCCGGGCTGGGCGCGCCTCTGCCATGGAGAGGCTGCTTCATGTTGGGGCAGGACCTCGGGCAGGGAAGGCTGTCCCTTAACAGGGGCGTGTGACAGGCCTAAGAGGGCACTGTCTTGTGTTATGCATGTTCTGGCTCCCTAGGCCTCAGAGTTTGGTGCTGAGAAGTCAAGGCAGACAGGGTGAAGCCCCCCACCCACCTTGGGACCATGTCTACCAGCAGAGGCCAGCTCCTACATGGCTTTACATTGTAGGGGCCAGAGAGGCTGGCCACAGCTAGCTCTGGCTTACCGAGGGCTTGGTTGATTCCATGATGCTTTGAGAGAGCCACGAGGAATCCGTAGAAGGTTAGTCTCTGAACGTTGCTTAGGACCTCTTTGACAAGTGCTGGGGGTGGGCAGCTAGAAGGGAGAATACAGATGCCAGATTCAAAGACTAGCCAGTCTGCCTGCCACATTTTCATCCATACCTTTAGGCTTAGGAGGATGCCCCAAGCCAAGACTGAGGGACCTGCTTGCCCTGGGGACCCTAAGATCCTGGGGAGCATGGCAGATCCAGGAGCAAGGCCTTGACTGTGGACAGAAAGGCTGGCACAGTCACTAACTGGTGTTTCACTAGCAGGGGTGAGAGGAGGGATGGGAAAAGGGCTGTAGGTGCTGCCTCCCCTGGAGGAGATTGAAACTGGCTGCTCTGTCCCCAAGGGGGCCGGATAGGATAGCTTAACCCTCCCTTTCTGTAGGGTGAATGCTTTGTACAGTGAATGTTTTTTCCTTCTCTCTAAAAAATCAAGACCAATCTACCTCCTGGCAAGGAGAAGAGGGCCAGACGGGTCATCGCAGCTGGTCTTGCCCAAGTGAAAGCAATCCTTGCTAAGTGAGCAGCCTGGGAAGCCTTTCGGTCCACAGCCTGGGCTGGGGGCAAAGGGCACTGTTCTAAGTCATGCTATGACCGTCAAGGGCCCTAGAAGTCCTGGGCCAGTCAGAACATCTTGCTAGAGAGCTGTTCCAGGGCCAGCAGCCGCCAGCCCCTGGGGCTGAGGCGTGTCTGCACGCCCACTTCTCACCTGTACTTGTGCCGGTCACACAAGTTCTCCAGGCACTGGTAGAAGAGCGACGCCTCCACGCCTTCCAGCACGCTGGCCTCGCCCAGCGTGGGCCGCTGGCGGTGCTGCCCGCTGGATGACGTTGGTACAATCACCGTATTGGGGTTCTTGCCGGACAGCAGGTCCTGATAGATGGCAGCCACGCTCTCCAGGAATTCTGGGCACCGTGGGTAGAGGGGCACAGGTCAGGAACACTCAGCCCTTCGCACTCTCCCCCTGCTCTGGGTGTCAGCTCAGCTCCATGCCGGCCTCAGTCCTGGGAGCAGGGCTTGTGTGACCACCACACTCATGAGAAGGGACACTAGTCTGTGTTTCAGCTCAAATGTCCCCTCCTTTGGCAGTTGTTCCTTGACCACGTGAGACCCCGGCTTACATACTTTCATGCCTCTATACTTCTTTGTAGTGCTTATACAGAGAGGGGTTATCCTGTCTCCTGGTGGAAGGGAGAATCTTGCACAAAAGGCTGGCTCATGCCTGGTCAGCCTTCCTCCCAGCGCTCTGCCTGGCACAGAGAAAATACTATAGATATTTAAAAATATTTTTGAAGAGCGAATGTGTGCGCACGCCTGCTGGTAAGCCCCACCTTGTGAGGCCACCTGCCTCTCTGACTCAAGAAAGCATGCTGGACTACCAGTGTGGAAGAGCGAGCTTTCCAGCTGCTAATCTATTAAACATTGGAAATCATTTTCAAGTGTTAGTAGCTGAGCCACTGGAGGCCAGCAGGAACTGATGGCCCATCTCCCTGCCGACTGACACGCACTGCTGTGATGCTCAGGGCCCCGCCCATCCTGGGAGCACTGCGAGAAGACAGCCTGGGTTCACGGTGAGGGGAGAAGGGTCTTCCACACATGGTGGCTTCTTATCTAGGGCCCAAGAGCATCAAAGAAATGGGAAAGAGCTGCCTAGAGCTGCTAAGAGCAGGTGGCAAGACCCCAGGCTCCAGCCCTGCCTGGCCAGGCCCTTGGGCCGCCATCAAGAAAACAGAGTGTGGCGCCTGAGTGAGGCCAGTGCTGGCTGGGGCCACCAGTTGGCAGGAAGGCCATGTCCAGGCTCCAAGGACAGCCTTCTGTTTACTGGAAGAAACTGTTTGAAACAAGTTTGTTTATGGACATAGTCAGCAATTCCTAAACCCAACATTCCATTTGCTGTTGCTGTGTGTGAGCTGGTGTGTGCTGGCATTTTTTCATCTATTTTTATTCCACCTGATCCCAGCAAGGATTGAAGGGCACAGCTGGTGAGCACTGGGGGGCAGGGTGGGAGTGTGAGAGAGGACTGGCGTGTGCTGATTAAAAGCTGTGTGGGTGGCAAAATGTGTGCTCACACATATGAGTCAGGGCGGAGGGCGAGCCCTTCGATCACAGTAATACAGCAGAGCCGCTGAGAGCACTGGCTTTGCAGTGGGCCCTCTGCTCAAGTCTGGGCTCCACCACTAGAAACTCTGTGCCTTTGGCAGCTTCCCTCCGTAAGCCTCCCTCTTAAAAGACCTACCTCAGGGCTGTTGTAAGGATTACAGTGCTGAGTGCTATGCCTGGCATAGAGTAAGTTTCTGATAAATAGTGAATTTATTGGGTCCTGTTACAATAGTGTGTATAGTTGTTGTCATTGTCATTATCACTTAAGCTGATTTGTTGTGTACTGCAGACTGGAAGCTCTTATGGTTTCCTATGTCTTGAGAAGGCTCAGGGAGTCGGCCCTGCAGACTGAGTCTTGTGACCACCAGTGAGAACTAGACATCCCGCTAGTGACCCGTGGTGAAGGCCACCACCAGAGGGAGGAGGGGGCAGTGTGTGCCGGGCATGCAGACGGCAAGGGCAGCGGCGAGGAGTGGGAGCTGTGGTCCTGACGGGGGCCACAGGGGGCCCTGGAAGACTCACCTGAGTAGTAAAACTGAATCTGGAAGGCAAAAAGGAAATCTGAAAAAGACATCAAGCAGTCCATGGCATCGTCCATGAGCACAATCCTGAGAAGAAAAGAGAGAGAAAATATGACAGAACGTGTGTGTTGGGGGGGTGAGGTGGGGGGAGTGTTCAAGCAAGCTGTTCCTGGGGCTCCAGACTCCCTTGGAGCAGCAAGACACTAGCTCTCCAAAACAAGCTCCTCCCAGTGGCCTCACTTCTCCATCAGCTGGGCTCTCACCAAGCTGAACTGCCCACACTGTACCATGGGCAGGCTCCCACTTCAGTCTCTGTGGCACCAGCCAGTGGACAGAGCACAGGCAGTGGGGGAGGTGGTGGCAAGGAGAGGGTGCGACTGTAATGCAGCCAAGATTTCTTTTCATATCCTTAAGCAGTAAATCCTTTCATCCTGCAATGAGGACCATTTAGTTCAGAATAAATACAGCTGATCAGAAAAGGCAAAAAGAACAGCCAAGAGGTTTAAAGGGGTCTTGGCAAGTGGCACTGAGATTTAATAAGCTTCCAAGGGCCAGAAAAGCTATAGTACTTCCATCCTGGGACACAGATGGCAGAAAGCGGAGAGGGTACAGATTGGGGTCTGCCCTTGAGAGGGTCAAAGAACACACCCCAGCTTGTGGGGCTGTGGCAGCCAGGGCTCCTCCATGCTGTCCACTCTCCCAGGCTGACCACCTCCTGGTTTCTCCTCTCTCCAGCCCCTCCTCTGCGCACCCACCTCACCGGAAGAAAACCATGTGACCACTAAAGGGATCAGATGAAGGCCATGTTCATACACTGCTCAGGGCCTCACTGGAGAGAGGACAGGAAGAGAAGGAAATTAGCACTTGCTGGGCTCCATCCATGTGCCAGGCAGGGTGCCAAACTCATCAACTGACGGGGAGCTGGGCCCCCACTCTGTTTCTGGCTGGGCCCTGGCTTTCCTTTAAATTTGTGTTTTATTTGCTCTCTCGTGTATTTTTCTAACTCTGTCTTCACCTCCCTGGGTTAGAGACTGGCAACCCACTGTGGAATGGCTTTAGAGAGAGTATAACGTGAGTGGTACCCCCGGAATTGTGCAAGGCAGCTGGCCTCCCTTCAGATGCCCCCGAAGAGAGAAATCGTTCCTACATCTCATCTTCAGTTGTAATCATGCTAACAACAGAAACGGGCACTATTTACTGAGTACGTACTTCACGGCAGGCACTGTGCCAGGTATTAAACCTATAATAATTACATTTATCGCACAACAGTCCTATGAGGCAGGTCTTGTGATTATTCCCATTTCACAGGTGAAGAGATTAAGCTTCAGAGAAGTCAGTCTGTAGGGGTCACACAGCTGCTGAAAGTGCTTGACTCCACGCGCCATGTAATTCCCATCAGGTCACACTGCCTCTTTTAAAAAAAGATGCAGAATACAAACACTAAAATTTTATTTCTTAGTTTCTTAGCTGCCTAACTTATCTTTTTTCTTCTCACCTGTATCTTAGGGCCTTAACTGTTTCTCATGTATCTCTTGGGGAAGAAAAAAGATGCCTCAACCATCAGAATTCAACATCAAAATTCCAGCTGGAAAAAAATTCAAGGCCAGAGTGGGAAGAAGCAATGCTGCCATTGGCCACAGGAGGGCGCCCTGGTCCCTCCATCAGAGGCCCCTCGGACCAGGTGTTGCGCACAGGCCAAGTCGTCACCCACTTCTCATAACCTGGGGAGAGCTCAGGCGGGCAAAAAGGAAGAGAGAGGGCACGAAGCCCAGATTCTGATATCTGGTGAGAGAGGTAGAGGGCAGGTAGAGGGGACTGGGATAACAGAGACACGCAAACCACAGAGAGAGAGCGAGCTCTCCCAGAGCCCCAGGAAGGAAGAGCCGCCAGCACCTCAGAGTCGTTCCTCCCCAGGCTCGACAGGGAAGGAAAAGGCCCCAGAGGACAGAAGGCAGCGACCTTTCCTTCCCAGGACAGCTGAGAACCCGGATGGCCTGAAGTTAATTACTAGGGAAGAGCACTGGGCCGAGAACATCCCCGAGCAGGAAACCACGATGGGGAACCAAAGCCTTTGAAGACGTGACTTGGCTCCTCTTGTTTATCATCAACCTGGGACCCAGTGCTCCTGTTTATGGCAGTTCCCTCCATTTACTATTTCTTTTTTTACCTATTTATTCATTTATTTTACATAGACGGTCCCCGACTTAGGATGGTTTGACTAAGGTTTTTTGACTTTATGATGGTGTGAAAGTCATACGAATTCAGTAGAAATCAGACTTTGAGTTTTGAATCTTGATCTTTCCTGGCCTGGTGACACGCAGCACATACTCCCTCGTGATGTGGGCAGCAGCAGACACAGCTCCGTGTCAGCCATGTGATCACAAGAGTGAACACATACAGCAACTCTGGACCCAGACCACCACTCTCACTTTCAGTACAGTATCCAATCAGTTACATGAGATACGCAGCACTTTATCATGAAATAGGCTTTGTGTTAGATGATTTTGCCCAAGTGTGGGCTGATGTAAGTGTTCCTAGCACATTTAAGGTAGGCTGGGCTAAGCCAGGATCTTTGATAAGTTAGGTGTATTAAGTGCATTTTTGACTTTTTACATTTTCAACTTAGCGTTGGTTTATCAGGACATAGCCCCATTGTACGTCGAGGAATCTCTGTATTGGAATATAATTCAAATACCATAAAATTCACCCTTTAAAAGTGTGCAGTATTTTTTAGTATATTCACAAAGTTGTGCAATCACCACCTCTAATTCCAGAAGTTGTCATTCTTGCTAATCAGCATGCTCCTAAGACCGGCCCTGCCACACCAGGGCTTCCAAGCCAGTTGCCCTAAGCATCTTGGTCTCAGCCACAGATAGGGCTGTCAGCTGCAAATAGGGCCCCGCCCTTCCAGCCTCAGAATCTCAGAATCCACAAAGTTCTCTGTTGGGGGCCATTCTTGACTATGAACATTCGCACCCACTTTTAAGATGGGCCTCTGGGGAAGAGTGAGCACACAGCCTTAAGAGGGCAGGAGACCCACCAGGGTAAGGGTGGCAGTCTGTGCAGGGACAGGGCAGCCTTGCGGGTGCTCTGGCTTTGACCCCTGCTCCTTGGTGGGCTGAGACGTATATTGGTCAGGAGGGACCAGCAGGCTAATTGGGAGAGGCAGACGGTGGCAGAGGCTTTTTTTCTGAGGGACGGGTGGCTGGGTCCTGGTAGCACGTGTGCAAAGGAATAGGAGGTTGTTTTGATTGCAAGCAGTGAGGCTGGCTGCCAGAAAAGCCAATGCGCTCTCAGCTGTCACTAACAGCAACACTCCTCCGTGCAGCCAGAAACCTGGGCATCTTCCTGATGCCCTGGAAGTTGCCTCCCTTGCCCACCCCACATCAGTCGATCAGTCATCAAGTCCTATCGATCCTATTCTGGACATTTCTCTTGAATCCATCTACTTTCCACTTCCACAGCCCCTATCCAACACCCACCTCCACCTCTCCTTCCTGGACAACTGGATGACCTCCTACCTGGTTTCCTGCAACACTCTTGCCTCCTTCTAATTGAGTATCCATACCGTGGCCAGAAATATCTTTTTAAAAATTCAAATCTGACCATTTTACAACTCTGTTTAAAACCCTCCCCAGGCTTTGCATTGGCCTTAGAGCAGAGTCTCCCATTCTTATCCTGGCTCATGGGCCTGATGATCTGCCTCTGCTCACCTCTCTAGACTCCAGAGGCCCCAGGCAACATCCCTTGCTGAGTTCTAGCCACACAGATCCTTCAGTTCTTCCTTCTTCCCGCCCTTCAAACAAGCCTGTCCTCTGTCGAAGTGCTGCCTGCCCTCCGTGCCCCTCCTCAGCCACCTGCCTGATGCCTGCTCACCCTTCACGTGCAGCCACAGAGTGCCTCTTTGAGGAGCCCTCCCTACCCTAGGTGAAGACAGGCCTCCCTGCTCTGGCTGCTCCAGTTCTCTGTGACCTCTTCACACTGTGTGTGTCTGTCTTTGCCCCAGGACTCGAAGATTCACCAAGTGGCACCTCTGTCTTTCTGTCTGTTGCCCAACTCAGGCGCCAGCATGGTGCAGAGCACACAGTAGGCACTCGGTAAAATTTGCTGAATGAAGGAAAGCATGAACAAAAGACTAAGAGAGGTCACAGCACCCTTCTCTTTTCCCCTGGCAAGGTGACATCTGGACACTACATTCAGCTCTGGAAAGTCCATTTAAGAGGAAT